GGGGCAGATCTGGGGCATGTCCAGGAGTGACAGGGTGAGCAGCCCAAGGCAGAGCAGCCCCTTCTCCAGGGTCTCCAGGTTCCAGGCCTGGCTGTCCTGTGGGGTCCACAGTGCAACCCACTCCTCTGGGCTGCCATGGGGATTGCTCGAGGACACCTTCTATTCCCAGAGCCATACAAGTGGCTCTTCAGTCTTTGCCAGTGTCCTGGTCACTCCATTTTCCATTGTGCTGTCAGCGGGGCCTTGGTTGATACCATCGGGGGACCCTCCTTGAGCTGCACCGGCTTCTCCTGGCCCCCAAAGGGTGACTCAGCAGTGCTCCTCAGTCCCAGGCCTTCGGAAGGCACCTGGGCCTGGGCCTGGACCTGTGGCAGGGATCTCCGTGGTTGATCAAGGGGTGGGCCTGGGTGCTGGTCAGAGGTACCCAGGACGGGGGACGGGAAACCACCCCTCCCGGGCAGAGGTGCAAGGAAACGGGCAGGGGGAGGCTAGAGCTGGGAAAGCACCTGGTAGCCCTGAGGCTTCCTCCGAGTCGGTTTGGTGTCGTTGAGGTCCCTTTTCTCTTTGCACATGGTGAGATCCAGCCCCATCCCAACCATGCTCAGGGAAGGGGGTAGGGGTGTGGATCAGGGCTGAGGCCAGCATGACCAGGACCATGGCTAGCCTCCCAGGGTCAGGGGCCAGAGCTGCTGGGAAGATGCCTTCAGTAGGCCCCCTACCACCAGCCCATGTCTCAGTATTTTATCTGGTTGTCTGGGGTCGGTTTCTGCTTCAAAAGCCTGACTAAATAGTAGTGGTGATGAGGGGTAGCATTGCTTTATTCCTGACTCTGCAAAACTACAACTTCGTCTCTGTCATTACAGACCAGCATCACAGCTGAGCTTGGTGCGGGCATCAGTTTACCCCAGTCCGGCAGGTGCAGACCAATGCTTTGTTCTAAGGACTTAAAAATCAAGATCGATTTCATTGATCAGACCTCCATCACAGGTCTTTCAAGACACAAAGCTGTAAACCTCGTGCTCGCCACAAATATTCAACATTCGATAGTCAACAAACGTGTTGAATAAAAGATTAACAGTTAGAAATGGATTTGACTGTAAGTAACAGAATAAAGAATGGTGGCTTATTAAAAAAAGGGGTATATTTGTCTTGTGAAAAGAAGACAAAATATAAATATTTTAAATATACAATATATAGTATGATACATGATAAGAAATTATTAATGTAAAATTTACATATATTTAAATATAAATATACAAATAAGACAGAAAATAAGATGGAGGGGACCACCCGTGTTTGACTCAGCGGTGTCATCAAGGACCCTGGTTCTTTCTGGCTTATTTCTTCACTAAATTTAGCCTGTGGCATTTGGCCTCATTGTCACAATAGGGTTGCTGTACCGCCTCTGAGTTAGACAAAAGACTTCCTTGGAAATCTCACTCAGGAGGGTTTCTGCTTACATCTCATTAGTAGAACCTGTCCAATGGCTGCCCCTTTCTAGAAGGAGGCTTGGAAAGTCGGAGGTGAGGGCAGGGCTCGGGGCAGCCAGTTCATAGGGCTGCCCTGCTCTCTTCATGTGATCATCCACGGTAAGAAAGATCACACTCCCAGAATCATCATCACTTGCTCAGAGAGCATAACTGTCCTAACAAACTCTTGAATTTCTGTGGAGGGTTTTCATATTTCTTCATAGGAAAATTTGTCTTTGGTTTTATTTATTTATTTTTTTTGCATTCTGCCTGGTTTGGTATCACAATTGCATTTGATTTGAAATCATGGACTTATCCGTAACTAGACAGAGAGTATTTGGAGAATTTTTTTTTAATAACTCAGTATTTTAAGAGAATCTGTCTTTATGGGTCTCTTATTTCTTCAGGACTTACCTGTGGTAAGTTACATTTTATGAGAAAATCATTTAGTTTATGGAGATTTTAAGATTGTTTTCTACAGAGTTACACACAGCATTCTCTTCTGATTAAAGACCAGTCTCTTCTGTATCTTGGGTAACTTGTTATCTTTCCTAACAGTATTAATCTATAATAGATTTTAGATTAATAGATAGATAATATATACTAGATTTTCTATATATTTCTATATAGATTAATCTATAATAGATTTTAGATTAATAGATAATATATAGTGGATTTTAGAAAATCTATAATAGATTTTTTTTAAGATTTTATTTATTTATTTATTTGAGAGAGAGAGAGAGAGCACATGAGAGGAGGGAGGGTCAGAGGGAGAAGCAGACTCCCCGCTGAGCGGGGAGCCCGATGCGAGACTCGATCCCGGGACTCCAGGATCATGACCTGAGCTGAAGGCAGTCGCTTAACCAACTGAGCCACCCAGGCGCCCTCTATAATAGATTTTAGATTAATAGATAGATAATATAATAGATTAATAGATAATAGATTAATCTATAATAGATTTCTGTTCTTTTCCATATTTACCAGCCTTGCTGGTATGCCTTCTGTTTGTTTGTTTTTTTAATCTCTTGTTCTGTTTTTAAGGCGTCTGCTCTTGAATTTGTGTGTCCATTCTACCCATGTCCCTTCAGATTCTGTTTTATTAACATCTGCTCTTGTCTTTACTGTGTAGATTCTTCCGCTCTCTCCTGATAAATTAGCTGCTCTCCTAAGCTGCCCACTCAGTCACTTTGACTTTTCTTGCTAACGCTTAACGCATTTAAAGGTATGAATCTTCTCCCGATGACAAAGTCAGCCTCATATCACAGGTTCTGATGTGAGGCCCTGTGGCTGCCATGATTTCATTGGTTTGTTACAATGTTTTATTTTCTCTTTCAGCATGGAGTTAAGAGTTTTGGAAAGCTCCCAACTGGTTTGATATTTTCTTGTTCTCCCCTTTTTGGGATCAATTTCTGATTTTATTACACCGTGATCAGAGAACCTGGCCCAGGCGATTTAAACATTTAAAAATATGTGCTTTTCAAGATGTTCATTTTGGTCTGGGATCTGATTTAATGCCTCAACCCAACTCTCCCAGGCAGATATAATTAAATGATTCACAGGGGTTTGAAAAACTCCATGTGCTGTGTTTGGGGGAGCAGTCTGCACCACAGAGCCAAGCGTGTTAGTCACACCACTGGATTAGAACATTTCCTTCATTGTTCTATTGCTCTTGATTACTCCGGGGCTTCAGGGGGTGTTAACTGACGCTCCCCTTGGCTGCTCCTGAGCTCTGTCCCCTTGTTGTGGGATCTGTGCTCAGGGCGTCGGCGGGATGGACGCAGCCACCCGAGGCGAGGGGGTGTCCACACGACCCAAACGGAAGGGCAGTTTGAAAGAGTTGTCCAGAAGATGAAATCATGCGCCCCTCACCACAGAGCGCACACGACCACACATGGCACAGAGCAGGTGTTGGTTGTTGGCTGAATTATAATTTTTCATATGAAGAAAACCCTTTGATGCACTTCTCCACATTTCTAGGTGGTCTTGTGCTGTTTTCTGATAATCATATTTGCACCTGTGTTCTACCCGGCTCATTCACTCATCCACGCTGGGTGCTGGGGAGCTGCCCCCTCCAGGGTCCCCTGCTCACCAGCTTCGGGGTCCACCCTGTGGGCTCGGTTTCTTCTGTTCCTGCAACAACAGGGGACTTGGATTTCATCTTTGGGCCCATTCAATAGTTGGTTGCCCTAATCAGGTTTTGCTTCGTCTGTTTTTTATCTTTTAATATGCTTCCTGATGCCTAACATTCCCACGCTTTACTAGTACTGCTATTGTATTTCTTTTGTTATATTGCTCAGGCTTTTCTTGCTTATTCTTTTTCTTTATTTGAAAATGAAACATTTTTATTTGACCAGTGGCTACCTTAAGATATCAATGCACATATTTATGACGATTTCTCAGCCGGCATTAATACTACATCAGGAACTGGTTCACTCCCTATAGAACGGGACATGTTAGCATACTGAATTTTCTCCTTCCTTGCTTCCAGCTCTCAAATTTTGCTTGAATAATGTGGGTGTTTCTAGCTCTGTTTTGTGAATATATGTCACGCATTATGCATTCTTTGCAATAATTATTTTGACACCTGAACTCTATTCTATAAACATACAATTATCTAAACATTAATGTCTGACTTACTGGTCTGGATATCTACTATCACGCCTTTTGTTCTGTATCTTCTCTTACCTGTAATCTTAATTTTCATCCATTTCCTATTGATCTGACCTTCCTACCTGAGCCGTATTTTCCAGGATACTTTCAGAGTCCTGGTATTCATGAACATACCTCTTTGTCACTCACATGTGAGCCCTGGCTTGAGCAGAGAGAGAACTCATGGGTCATGCATGCACTTGCCACTCCCCGAAAGTCCCAATTGCTACCTGGTCGAATGGCTGTGTTTGGGGTCCTGAATGGGAACTGTGGTGTTCACATTTTCCCCTCCATCATGAGCCACGGACGTTTCTCCACTGATGTGGATGCCTGCAGGATTTCTTCCTAATTCCTGAAATGTGATCTCCTTGAGGTTACCTATCTGGACATTGATCAGCCCAGTGTCTGTAGGAGGCCAGGGGCCATCCCCTCACTTTGCTGTGACACCGGAGTCATGGCTCCTTGAGGGGTGGGTCCTGTCTGCGTGCATCTCTCTCACCCTTTCCTCCTCATGCCCATGATCCTTGGAAAGCTTCTTTGCCCCATGAACCTTTTCTTTCTGTTTTCCTACCCACCTCTTGGGAAGGAGCAGCTTAGCTTCTGAATATATCCTCTCTGTCTACGTTCCCAAGTTACTTTGTCTTGCTCAGGGCCTGTGGGCACAGGCTGAGGCCTGGGATGAAGGTGACGGTTCTCCACTTAGCCAGAGTCATGGCCCCCTTTTCTTGCCCTGGCCCCCTCTCCACAGACCTTTTGAGGGCCCTCTCATCCACTGCTGGGATCTGGATCCTATACAGTCCTCAAGACCATTAGAAGCATCTCTGCAGCTCAGAACCTCAGTTCTGGACATGGTTGACCTTATTTCTTGCAGTGGTTCCAACCCCACAAATAAGAGGTTGTGGTGTGAGTCCTGTGTGGTGTCCTGTAACTGTCTCATGAAGCTGTCCACAATGCTCCAGCTAACAGATGACCTGGGGGATGACCCGGGGGATGAGAGTCCAAGGGAGAACAGAAGGAGATTAAGGAAGAGGACTCCCAGGAACCTTGAGCAATAACTGTTTCTTGGGGCATGACTCTTGCCTCGTAAGTCCGTAGTCAGGACGTTCCATTCAACACACTTAACAAAAAAGGCATAAAGTCTGATAAAGTCTGGTGAAATACCTTGTGTTGGGCTAACTTTCCTTAAGACAACAATTATACACTTTGAACAAATAAGCACACAAAAACAGCACTCTCTTTTAAATATTGGAGCAGAACCTAAAATAGAAACTAAAGAAGACAGAATGATTGGGGCATCCTCGTCTGCCCACGTGGGCTGGTGTAACTCAAGCAGTCGACTTGGTGTCAAGTGTCGGAAGGTGGCATCCGGAGAACTGAGAAAGGAAGTCCAAGAAAACTGGGAGCCATGGAGGGAGAGTCCAAATCTTTGCATGAGCTCTCCTCCATCCTGGTGACACGTGTAGGGGTTTGCTAGGAAATCACAGCTGGTAGAGGTGAGTGGAGATTTCAGCTGTGGCTCACCCACCATATGAGCCAGAATTTGGAGCTTCAATCCTGTCAAGTTACGGGGGGTTGGTAAAAAACTCATTTTCCCCTGAAATTCCAGAAGGATCACAACTGAAGAGCAAAGATTGTGCCCTAGGACTACGGATTTTCCCTAAAACTGTAAGAAAAATAAAAATAGATTTACCCCAAAAGAGTTTAATGAAGTCTCCACAAGTGCAAGGTGATTATCTAGTAAATAAACTGCTTATTAGAATGAAAGTTAATAGTTTTCAGAGAAAGATAATGGAACCCAGAATCTGAACAATGTATCATCAATAATATTCTGTAAATAAAGATTCCTAGACATGTAAAGAAACAGAAAATAAAAGCCATAAAAAGTGAACAGGTGGAAATAAATCTCAGCAGAGTAAAGGAAAATATAAAAAGAACCAAGTAGATATTTTAATACCAAAGTGTAAAATATCTAGGATGAAAAATGCACTGGAGCGGCTA